CCTTTCCCTTACCCATTTCTACTTTGTATTGGACTGATGAAGCCACTGTATGGCGAAACGTTTCTTCAATAAAGATTCCCATATGTTGCATAAGTGTCTCAATTCTTCAAGTTGTTGGTTTTCAAAACCATTCATCACAAATATGAAAATGACATAGCTGCGAAAGCCAAATCCAACCCGAAGCTGTTGTACAGCCACGTCAGGAGGAAAACAACAATCAAGGACCAGGTAATCAGGCTGAGGAAGGAAGGAGGAGAGATCACAAGAAACGACTTAGTAGTATGTGAGGAACTCAACATGAGATTCAAAGAAGTGTTCACAGAGGAGACAGAAGGGACTCCAGAAAGACAGAGGTGGGGTACACCACCAAGTGTTGGACACAATACATGCAACCAAGGAAGAAGTGAAGAGGCTGCTGAGCGAGCTAGACACCTTAAAGGCGACGGGGCCGGATAACGTCTCTCTATGGGTCCTAAGAGAGGGAGCAGAGGCGCTATGTGTACCCCTAACAATATTCAGCACCTCTATCGAAACAGGGAGATTACTCGAGGTATGGAAGACAGCAAATGTAGTCCCAATTTTTAAAAAAGGAGACAGACAAGAAGCACTAAACTACTGACAAGTGTCACTGACATGTATAGTATGCAAAGTTATGGAAAAGATTATCAGAAGAGTGGTGGAACACCTAGAAAGAAATGAGCTTATCAACAACAGCCAACACAGTTTCAGGGACAGGAAATCCTGTGTCGCAAACCTACTGGAGCTCTTTGACAGGGTGACAGCAGTAAGACAAGAGAGAGATGGGTGGGTAGATTGCATTTTCTTGGACTGTAAGAAGGCATTTGACACAGTTCCACACAAGAGATTAGTGCAAAAACTGGAGGACCATGCAGGGATAACAGGGAAGGCACTACAATGATCAGGGAATACCTATCAGGAAGACAGCAGCAAGTCATTGTATGAGGCGAGGTGTCAGAGTGGGCGCCTGTGACAAGTGGGGTTCCACACGGGTCAGTCCTAGGACCAGTGCTGTTTCTGGTATTCATGAACATGACAGAATGAATAGACTCCGAAGTGTCCCTGTTTGCAGATCATGTAAAGTCGATGAGAAAAATTCAATTGGACGTGGACCAGGGATTTGGACAGGCTGCAGGCCTGGTCCAGCAATTGGCTCCTGGAGTTCAACCCCACCAAGAGCTAAGTCATGAAGAGCGGGGAAGGACAAAGAAAACCGCAGACGGAGTACAGTCTAGGGTGCCAGAGACTACAAACCTCACTCGAGGAAAAAGACCTTGAGGTGAGTGTAACACCAGGCACATCTCCTGAGGCGCACATCAACCAAATAACTGCTGCAGCATATGGGTGCCTAGCAAACCTAAGAACAGCATTCCGCCATCTTAACCCTTTCACTATTTTGTTCGTATATATACGTCTTAAGAGCCAGCGTTTCGGACGTATATACAGTGGACCCCCGGTTAGCGATATTTTTTCACTCCAGAAGTATGTTCAGGTGCCAGTACTGACCGAATTTGTTCCCATAAGGAATATTGTGAAGTAGATTAGTCCATTTCAGACCCCCAAACATACACGTACAAACGCACTTACATAAATACACTTACATAATTGGTCGCATTCGGAGGTGATCGTTATGCGGGGGTCCACTGTATACTCAATAATTCTAGCGGCTTCAAATCAAGCCAGAGAAAGCCGGTAAGCCCACATGTGAGAGAATGGGTCTTGTTGTCATGGCACCAAAAAAATTCCGGGCAGACGCATTGCAAAATGAGAAAAAAAAACTGATTTTTTTTGGGTTTAAAAACCGACTTGAGGTGTATTTTCGTAAATTTATCATTGTATTCTCTTTTCTTGGTCCACATGATAAATGGAAAAACTTGCAGAAATAGAGATAAAATTGAAATTGGCTCAAAGTAGCGGAAATTTCGATTTTTCCAAATGTTCGAGGTAAGCAAATCACACCACATGCCAATCACGTAAGGGGGAGTCTAATATTTTTCCTAGTGCACAATTATTTATACCATTTTTACAAAAATGCAGTAGTCTGCATAACAGAAAATTTTTTTTTTTTGATATAAAAATCAAAATAGAAAGCAATAGTAATAAAAGGGGGGCTGACACGTGATAATAAAAAGGGGATTGTTTTTTAGTCCAAGAATGTCTACATTGTTTTTCTGGCCCCTATTTTGAAATTGGCATTTTTTTTTTAATTTGCATGAAATTTCCCAAAAATCCCCAATTTCTGACCACTTTTTGGTATTTCAATCGGTAAATAGGCGGTTTCTTGTACTAACTGATAGTAAAAGGAGTTCTAAAAAATACTCAGTTTGGCAACTGGAACAACGGAATTGGCCAAAAACAGGCTCAAAGTCGGCAAAAAAGCCGTGTGTATATGTAGCCGAGACCGCCAACTTCGCGGGAGCTTTAATTCGTGATTTTTCAACCAAATTTCTTTACTTTTGGTGTCATTACCTCAGGAAAAGATTCTTGTCATTTAAAAAAAATAATTTTTCCCAAAAATTTTGCGACAGAATGACAGCTTCAAAAAGGGGCTTGCAACAGTCAAGGGTTAATAGGGAATCATTCAGGCCCCTGACTGTTAGTTAGGCACTATTTGGGGTATGCGGCCCAGTTTGGAACCCCCATTAGCCAAACACGAAAAAAAAAATAGAGGGAAATGCAAAGATTTGCAACAAGCTAGTCCCAGAACTAAGGGGATTCCTAAAGGAGAGATTAAAAGGGAAAAAAAAAATGACGACACTAGAGGACAGGAGAGAAGGGGGGACACGATAACGACATACAAAAAACGAGGGAATTGACAAGGTGGACAGATAGGAGTTCCAGAGTTTGGGGCACGCAACAAGGGGACACAGTTTGGAAATTGAAGAACAGATGAAACACAGGGGTGTTAAAATATTTCTCCCGTACAGATGTCAGGATGTGGAATAGTTTGGGAAAGGGAATGTAGTGGAGGGGGGATCCCTTCATAGCTTTAAGCAGAGGAAAGATAAAGCCCTGGTTTGGGGAGAGTGACCCGTAGGGCCATTTTAAGAGGGGGGGCCAGGGGCTATGCTTGACCCCTGCAAAACCCCAAATAGGCGAGTAGCACGACACCGTGCACCACACACCTCAGGGGGGTTTATTTTCTCTTTTCTTTCAGTTTTGTTTTTTCCTGTTTTTCCCCCATGGGAAGGGGCGAATTCTTTTTCCGTAAACCATGCATTTGTCAGAGGTGACTAAAATGCTGGAGCAAAAGATGGTAACCTCTTCTCCCATATATATTACTAAAGTTAAAAACAGAAACTTTCATTTCTCTTTTTGGGCCAACGGCTTCAGTGGGATACGGCTGGTTTGTTTAAAGAAGAAGACATGTACTTGTAAAGTAAACTCTTTTTAACTTTTTTTTATACCCTATATAAAAATTCTTTGATGTACTAGAAGCACTAAGTGCAAACAAAAGTGAAAAATAATAGTACTACAGTATATCTGTCACCAGTTTCAAGGGGTCTTCCACCCTCACAGCCTGGGCTAGGGCCAGGCTTCCTTATTGATTAACTTTCCAACCAGGTTGTTGCTGCTGGAATCCCATAAGACCATATAAATTTGTACTGAATATGATGTTCAAAATGAGGACATAATAGATTATCACGTATCAGGCACATAGCATTGAAAGGCTTGGTATAATAACTAGTGATAGTTGAGGCATGTGCACCTTGATAGTTGATGAACACGATCCATGTTGTGCTTCAGTGGTGTGAGCTGTGAGCGGAGGCAGGTCAGTGCATCCAGCACCTGTCCGCTCTCCAGCAGCTCCAGGTACTTCTGTTCCAGTAGTAAGAAATGCATCTCCTAAAAAAAAAGACAAATGTAAATTAATAATTTTTCTATTGCATTAGCCTCTTCAATAAATGTTTACAAACGAAGTTTTTAGATAACCCAGAGTTGTGTGTATCTGAAACTTATCTTCAGATAATTCTCAAGTCACTATATACCAATGAAGTCTCCAACTAGTTACCTGTACACTGGTAAGGTCTGAAGTGACCTCCAATCACAGAACTGCATCTTTTTTTTTTACAGAAAATGCACTCTACCAGAGCAACCAGCCAAAGTCCAGTTCTGTTTCAGAACAATTGTGGTCAACAAGTCAGAAAAATTGTGCAGGTCCTCCATCGCAAATCCGGCATCACTGGGACCTGTAGTGTGCCGGATTACTGAGTTTGCCAGATTACAGAGTGGTTAGAATACACTTAATAAAATTAACCAACTTGACTTTCACAAAGTTCATTGAACATCGACAAAAATCGAACATTTCCACTACTTAGAGCTCAATTTTAAGATACTTTTTTGTTGTGAAACCAATCAAAATCGTATCTATTTCTGTAATATATCTTCCATTCTATCAAATAAGACCAAGAAAAAAAAAGCGTTTGTTTTTTCAGTGTACGTTAAGAAGCATCTTTCCATCATACACTGCCCAAGTTTCAATAAGATAGCCCAACAAATAACTGGGAATTTTTTTTTTTTTTTCAACAAGCTGGCAGTCTCCCACCGAGGCAGGGTGACCCAAAAAAGAAAGAAAATCCCCAAAAAGAAAATGCTTTCATCATCATTCAACACTTTCACCACACTCACACATAATCACTGTTTTTGCAGAGGTGCTCAGAATACAACAGTTTAGAAGCATATACGTATAAAGATACACAACATATCCTTCCAAACTGCTAATATCCAAACCCCTCCTTTAAAGTGCAGGCATTGTACTTCCCATTTCCAGGACTCAAGTCCGATTATATGAAAATAACCGGTTTCCCTGAATCCCTTCACTAAGTATTACCCTGCTCACACTCCAACAGATCGTCAGGTCCCAAGTACGATTCGTCTCCATTCACTCCTAACACGCTCACGCATGCTTGCTGGAAGTCCAAGCCCCTTGCCCACAAAACCTACTTTACCCCCTCTCTCCAACCCTTTCGAGGATGACCCCTACCTCGCCTTCCTTCCCCTATAGATTTATATGCTTTCCATGTCATTCTACTTTGATCCATTCTCTCTAAATGACCAAACCACCTCAACAACCCCTTCTTCTGCCCTCTGACTAATACTTTATTAACTCCAACCTTTTCCTAATTTCCACACTCCGAATTTTCTGCATAATATTTACACCACACATTGCCCTTAGACAGGACATCTCCACTGCCTCCAACCGTCTCCTCGCTGCTTTCATTTACCACCCAAGCTTCACACCCATATAAGAGTGTTGGTACTACTAAAACTTTCATACATTCCCTTCTTTGCCTCCATAGATAACGTTTTTTTGACTCCACATATACATCAATGCACCACTCACCTTTTTTTCCCTCATCAATTCTATGATTAACCTCATCCTTCATAAATCCATCCGCCGACACGTCAACTCCCAAGTATCTGAAAACATTTACTTCTTCCATACTCCTCCTCCCCAATTTGATATCCAATTTTTCTTTATCTAAATCATTTGATACCCTCATCACCTTACTCTTTTCTATGTTCACTTTCAACTTTCTACCTTTACACACATTCCCAAACTCATCCACTAACCTTTGCAATTTTTCTTTAGAATCTCCCATAAGCACAGTATCATCAGCAAAAAGTAACTGTGTTAATTCCCATTTTGAATTTGATTCCCCATAATTTAATCCCACTCCTCTCCCTAACACCCTAGCATTTACTTCTTTTACAACCCCATCTATAAATATATTAAACAACCATGGTGACATTACACATCCCTGTCTAAGACCTACTTTTACCGGAAAGTAGTCTCCGTCTTTTCTACACACCCTAACCTGAGCCTCACTATCCTCATAAAAACTTTACAGGATTTAGTAACTTACCACCTATTCCATATACTTTCAACATCTGCCACATTGCTCCCCTATCCACTCTATCATATGCCTTTTCTAAATCCATAAATGCAATAAAAACTTCCCTACCTTTATCTAAATACTATTCACATATATGCTTCAATGTAAACACTTGATCTACACATCCCCTACCCACTCTGAAACCTCCTTGCTCATCCGCAATCCTACATTCTGTCTTACCTCTAATTCTTTCAATTATAACCCTACCATACACTTTTCCTGGTATACTCAATAAACTTATTCCTCTATAATTTTTACAATCTCTTTTGTCCCCTTTCCCTTTATATAAAGGACTATACATGCTCTCCGCCAATCCCTAGGTACCTTCCCCTCTTTCATACATTTATTAAACAAAAGTACCAACCACTCCAACACTATATCCCCCCCTGCTTTTAACATTTCTGTCATGATCCCATCAGTTCCAGCTGCTTTACCCCCTTTCATTCTACGTAATGCCTCACGTACCTCCCCCACACTTACATTCTGCTCTTCTTCACTCCTAAAAGATGATATACCTCCCTGACCAGTGCATGAAATTACCACCTCCCTTTCTTCCTCAACATTTAAAAGTTCCTCAAAATATTCTCGCCATCTACCTAATACCTCCCTCTCCCTATCTACTAACTCCCCTACTCTGTTTTTAACTGACAAATCCATACTTTCCCTAGGCTTTCTTAACTTGTTTAACTCACTCCAAAATTTTTCCTATTTTCATTAAAATTTCTTGACAGTGCCTCTCCCACTCTTTCATCTGCTCTCCTTTTACACTCTCTCACCACTCTCTTCACCTTTCTTTTACTCTCCATATACTCTGCTTTTCTTATAACACTTCTGCTTTGTAAAAACCTCTCATAAGCTAACTTTTTCTCTTTTATCACACCCTTTACTTCATCATTCCACCAATCACTCCTCTTTCCACCTGCCCCCACCCTCCTATAACCACAAACTTCTGCCCCACATTCTAATAATGCATTTTTAAAACTATTCCAACCCTCTTCAACCCCCCACTACTCATCTTTGCACTAGCCCACCTTTCTGCCAACAGTCGCTTATGTCTCCCCCGAACTTCCTCGTCCCTTAGTTTATACACTTTCACCTCCCTCTTACTTGTTGTTGCCACCTTCCTCTTTTCCCATCTACCTCTTACTCTAACTGTAGCTACAACTAAATAATGATCCGATATATCAGTTGCCCCTCTATAAACATGTACATCCTGGAGCCTACCCATCAACCTTTTATCCACCAATACATAATCTAACAAACTACATTCATTACATGCTACATCATACCTTGTATATTTATTTATCCTATTTTTCATAAAATATGTATTACTTATTACCAAATCTCTTTCTACACATAGCTCAATTAAAGGCTCCCCATTTACATTTACCCCTGGCACCCCAAATTTACCTACTACTCCCTCCATAATATTTTTACCCACTTTAGCATTGAAATCCCCAACCACCATTACTCTCACACTTGATTCAAAACTCCCCATGCATTCACTCAACATTTCCCAAAATCTCTCTCTCTCTACACTTCTTTCTTCTCCAGGTGCATACACGCTTACTATAACCCACTTTTCACATCCAGTCTTTATTTTACTCCACATAATCTTTGAATTAATATATTTATAGTCCCTCTTTTCCTGCCATAGCTTATCCTTCAACATTATTGCTACTCCTTCTTTAGCTCTTTGAAACCCCTGACCTAATCCCATTTATTCCTCTCTATTGAAACTCTCCCACCCCCTTCAGCTTTGTTTCACTTAAAGCCAGGACATCCAGCTTCTTCTCATTCATAACATCCACAATCATCTCTTTCTTATCATTTGCACAACATCCAAAAATCATGGGGCAAGCCCAAGCCAAGTACTGGAAACAATTCACTGACTTTTTTGGGTTATCCTAGGTTCTCTATACATACGCTGCTATGTATGATAATCTATGTAACTGTATTTTTGTATACCTGAATAAACTTACTTATTTACTTATTTCTATTCTGTTGACTGAGTACAAGAAACTGCTCATTCACCTATTTCAACTACATAAAGTGGTCAGAAATTGGCAATTTGGCCAATTTCACACAAATTTCAACAGATGCCAATTTCAAAATAGGGTCCAGAATTAACAATGCAGACATTCCTGGCACATTTTTTATGTTCATTAGTCACGGCTCCAGACCCCTCTTATATTACTCTTGCTTACCATTTGGAATTTTTATTCACCACACACACACACACACACACACACACACACACACACACACACACACACACACACACACACACACACACACACACACACACACACACACACAAAAAAAAAAAATAGGTTTAATGTTATGCGACTACTGCATTATTGTAATAATTGTATAAATAATGTCAATCCATTCTTGACTGCGTATTGGAATTTGGACTGGCAGGCACACACGTATTAGACGGTGATGTCATTTGTTTACTCTTGAACATCGCTAAAGAATGGAACATTTCCGTTACTCTGAGAGCAATTTCAAGGTACTTTTCATCATGAAAGCAATCAAAATCATATCTATCTCTGTAATTTATCTTCCATTCTATCAAATGAGACAAAAAAAACGAGAATACAACCATAAAAGCCATACAAAAATATACCGCTAAGGGGCCGCTAATGGCTGAGAAGTGAACTCCGTTATTTATGGTCTGATTTCTTTCATTTTTGGTGTACGTTAAGAAGTATCTTTCCATCATACATTGCCCAAGTTTCAATAAGATAGCCCAACAAACAACTGAGAGAAATAATAATAATAATAATAATAATAATAATAATTTTATTTACGGCCGACTTGTTGAAAAAAAAAAATGTATGTGGTATACAGGTCTAGCTGACATCAGTGACATATTACTAAACAGAAAGCCCTTTGTTATGCTAAGCATTTCAGGCAAATTAGGTCAGTGTCCCTGGATAAGACCCACACCAATCCACTAACACCCACGTACCCATTTACTGATGGGTGAACATAGACAACAGGTGTAAAGAAACATGCCCAATGTTTCTACCCTGGCTGGGAATCGAATATTTACCAAAAATCATATATGGCTAGCCCAAGCTAGGTACCAGAAATAAGCCACTTTGACTTTTTTGGATTATCCTACACACATGTTGCTGTGTGTGATAATCAATGCAGAGAAAACAGCTTTTTTGTTTCAGTTTTATTGTGTAGTATGAGTGTATATCACAGTTAGCCCTGTGCTATACTCTGTTTTCTCTAAGTCCCCCCAAGACAGGGATAGGAGAATGGTACATGTACTTGTATCCTATATCCTCTTCATGCCTCCATCAAACTGCTCAGTATTGACTCATGAAATCGTAATGACACAATTGCAAACAAACCATACCCCGGCCGGGATTGAACCCGCAGTCAGAGAGTCTCAAAACTCCAGCCCGTCGCGTTAGCCACTAGACCAGCTAGCGGGTTCAATCCCGGCTGGGGTATGGTTTGTTTGCAATCGTGTCATTACGATTTCCTGAGTCATGTTGACGGCAGTGAAGGGACTTGAGCTAGAGTTCGTCACGGCCATGCTAGCTGGAGATTCGTCTGTAAAAACTTGCATTTGTGGTCACAGTGGTGCCTGTGCTAACCTTCCTATGGTGTAGAAATATACCTAGTTGGACGAATCTTACTGTGGCTAGCTGGTCTAGTGGCTAACGAGACGGGCTGGAGTTTTGAGACTCTCTGACTGCGGGTTCAATCCCGGCCGGGGTATGGTTTGGTTTGCTCAGTATTATGCCAAATATTATTTATTCTGGAGTATTTAACATTTATTTATATTATTTATTATGTCATATTAGATCAGTTGTGATAGGCAAAAATAATAAAGTATATTCCCCTGCATCACAAGACTGAGCTCATGGCAACCGACAATGGCTTCAAAGCCACCTTATCTTTAATGGATAATGTACTGTGTAGGTGCTTTACACAATAAGAAGCATTTCTTTTATTCACTGGAACCATGGCTAGGGCTAAAAGTAAGCAGGTTATAACAATAAATGGAGAAAAGGAAATTGGAATGACTTATGCAAGAAGTAGAGCCACCAAACAGTACCAGCAGGTTGGTGTGGCGACCCTGGAAATTTGAAATTATGCTAGCCGAAATTAGTGCCAAATAACTGATGGAACAGGGTGTCCGATTGCTGGATTTGTGATGGTGGACCTGTATTATGCAGTTGTAAAGTTAAAAGTGTTTACTGCATTAATTTTTTTTTTAACTCAGACCTAGCTCATTTACATGTGCAGTTCAAACAAGTGACTTTTTTGGACTGAATATTCATATTTATTTTCAATACACTGTTTAGTTGTAACATGATAAATCAACACATGCAGTTCTTATTGGTTATTGATCAGCAGGTGACAGGCAAGATAAGACCTTGTATATCAAAAGAATAGTGAAGATGCCAGAGGCATCCCTGAACAAAGCTATGAACATAAGACTCATTACCTGAGGATTAAGAATTATTCCTTTACTCAATGGAGGGGTTACTAAGTACCTGGGGGAATGGAGGTACTCATTTTTGATATAAGGCAAGAATAGTTCCAATTCTTTGGATATACAGCCTTTCACCAGCATCCATGCCCCCTCTCTCAGTTAGGACTAAGAAAAAGTTGAAGTTACTCTAGAAATTGGAAAAAAGGAATGAATAGAACCCTATGGTCAATAGAATATGCATACAATATCAATGTTATGGAACAATCATTATAATAGTCAAATGCTAAACCAGAAAGGGTAATGTTATGGAACAATTTTATGTACAAAAATGGGTTTAAAATATATTTTTATGTGTAATCTATCAGTGTTTTAGATAGTAGTCAATACATACAGTGCCAGACATAAGAGTCTGGATTTTGGTAAGTTGATACTAAAAAATAATATACTACCTGTACTGTATCAAGCATTTTACAATGGCATGGCAAATGTCTTACTGTAAGACTGGAGGGGTCATCAAGCATGGTACGCAACTCAGTAAGAGCTGTCTCAGCTTTGGTCCATTCACCATTCATAACACAGTGACGAAATCTTGCTGCAGCTGGGTGGTCTAGACGGCACCCAGACTCAGACATCAATAGCTCAGCACTCTTTCTGTAAAGTTAATCATTATTACACTCCTTAAAGACAGCAATTAAAGCTGGCTCCAGGACAGCAGAGGTGATGACCTAATGCCTCTTCCCCACTAAACTGAAATACTGAACCATGCAGTCACATCAATATATAACTGTTTTAACACCTCAGCCATGTCCCACTGACGTAGGCTGACCTGACACACATACACACACACACACACACACACACACACACACACACACACACACACACACACACACACACACACACACACACACACACAAAAAAAAAAAAAAAAAAAAAAAAAATTATTGTCAACCATTCAATCACTGTCATGCCAGAAGGATGCTGACACTTCAAGTGACCCTTCAAACTGCAGCATCCCCACCCCTCCTCCAGAGTGTAAACACTTTACTCCCTAACTCCAGGACTGAGGTCCAGCTAATTGGTTCCTCCAAATCCCTTCATAAATGTTACCTTGCTCACAATCCAGCAGCAGGTAAAATCATAAAAGACATTTGCCCTGACCCACTCCTATCTAACACACCCACACAAACCTGTTGAATGTCCATGCCCCTAGCACTCATTGCCTCCTTTATCCTCTCCCTCCAACCTTTCCTCGGATGATCCCCTTACCACTCCTTCCCTCCACCGAAGATTTATACGCCCTCCTAGTCATCCTTTTTCTTTTCCTCCATCCTCTCTAAATGTCCAAATCACTTCAACTCCTTCTCAGTCCTCTGAATAATACTGTTGGTAACTTCACACCAAATTCTGAATTTTCTGCACAATACAGATCTCCCTCAACATTCGCGAGGGTTAAGGGATCAAGAGCCTCGCGAATGTTGAAAAACCGTGAATGTTTGGTGCCCCAATATATTGTAGGGAAATATATTACAATACTGCTTCCTTAACTTGTTGAACCATGAATAATCATAAAATACATGAAAACGTCGTAAATTGTACTAAATATATACATGTTATGCTTTAATAACGTATGTTATTTAATAACATGTATGTTATTAAATACCACAGACACCACCACTGCCTCCACCAATGCCTCCACCACTGCAAGTCCCTACTACCCTCCCTCCGACCCCCGCAACTGGCAGCCAGCCCTCCCACCACTCAGTGTGGCGAGTGTTTTGTTTGTTCATTATTTGCTATTAAACTACAGAATAAATAATGTAAACCCATTCATGACTGCATATTGGAATGGCTATTAGGAAAGGTATTAGACGGTGACATGTGTTTACTCTTGAACACAGCAAAGAATCGAACATTTCTGCTATTGCTAATAATAACAATAGTAATAATAATAATAATAATAATATAATAATAATAATAATAATAATAATAATAATAATAATAATAATAATAATAATAATAATAATAATAATAATAATAAATACGATATAATTAAAGAAGGAAATTGTACAAAAATACGAGGGAGTGGTTGACACATTGTCAGTGTGACTTTGTTTATGCTGGAGTCAATATTAGTCTCCCTGCTCTTCCAAACATTTCACAATAATTCAGCGGTTGAGGCAGTGGTATTTAATAACATATATGTTATAAATAATAATAGTACATGTTATTATTAATAACATGTATTATTATTAATAACATGTATTATTATTATTAACATGTATGTTATTAAATACCATTGCCTCAATCACTGCCTCTACCACTCCAGTCACACTCAATCTACAAGCACCAAACACAATGAATTATTGTGAAATGTTTGGAAGAGCAGGGAGACTAATGTTCACTCCAGCATAAACAAAGTCACACTGACGATGTGTCACCCACTCCCTCGTATTTTTGTACAATTTCCTTCTTCAATTCTATCATATTTATTATTATTATTATTATTATTAATTATTATTAATATTATTGTTATTATTAGCTGTAGCAGAAATGTTTAATTCTTTGCAGTGTTCAAGAGTAAACATGATGTCACCATCTAATACCTGTCCGAATAGCCATTCCAATATGCAGTCATGAATGGGTTTACATTATTTATACTGTAGTTTAATAGCAAATAATGAACAAACAAAACACTCACCACACTGAGTGGTGGGAGGGCTGGCTGCCAGTTGTGGGGGTCGGAGGGAGGGTAGTACGGACTTGCAGGTGGCGGGAAACTTAAATATGATTTGGCGGCTGGGAATTTGGTGGCTGGGAATTTGGCGGTTGGGAATTCGCGAATGTGTGAAGCCCGTGAAAGTTGAAAACGTGAATGTTGAGGGAGACCTGTATTTACACCACGCATTTGGAAAAATACCCCCCCCCCCAAAAAAAAGAGCAACCTGGGCAATAGCCGATAAGTGGTGAATCAAAGACATGGACAGAGTATGCCTTTCAATTAATGAAGTTTTGCTCTTTGTGGAGCCTTGCCAACTGCAGAAATTAACCCAAGCCAAATTTTAAAGTTCTTACAATAAAAGGCTTACCCTGTTCATGTGTGTCTGATTCACCTACAAGTGCATTACTGAATATAGCCTCTCCTCACTTAGTGACATACTCGTTTACCAATGACTCAAATTTACAATGGGCTCTCTTACCAGTATGCATACCTAAATAATGTATATTAGAGCTGATTTCCTCTATTCTGTTTATTACAATATACAGTTCACTACTGTATAAACTATTTAAAAAATACAATAAAAATGTTATAAATGGTGTATAGGTGACATTAAACAATATGAAAGATGGATGACACAAACCCACTACCATTATAGTATGCTCCTTGCTTAGTGACATTCGTTAACTAATATGGTCTTAGGAACAGAACTCCATCATTAAGTGAGCAGATGTTGGTGGATGAATTTGGTAAGGTATGTAAAAGAAAATTAAAAGTGAATACAGGAAAGGGTAAGGTTATCTGGAGTTTATCTGGAGAGAGTTCCGGGGGTCAACGCCCCCGCGGCCCGGTCTGTGACCAGGCCTCCTTAGGTCAGTGTCCCAGGATGCGACCCACACCAGTCGACTAACACCCAGGTACCCATTTTACTGATGGGGAACATAGACAACAGGTGGAAAGAAACACGTCCAATGTTTCTACTCTGGCTGGGAATCGAACCCAGGCCATCACCGTGTGAAGCGAGAGCGTTAACCACCAGGCTAACAGGATAACAAAAAGATTAGGTGATGAATGATTGGATATCAGATCAGAAGGAGAGAGTATGGAGGAGGTGAATGTATTCAGATATTTGGGAGTGGACATGTCAGAGGATGCGTCTATGACAAATGAGGTGAATCATAAAACTGACGAGGGGAAAAGGGTGAGCGGTGCATTTAGGAGTCTGTGGAGACAAAGAACTTTGTCTTTGGAAGCAAAGAGGGGAATGTATGAAAGTATGTGAAGCATGGGTGATGAATGTTGCAGCGAGGAGAAGGCTGGAGGCAGTGGAGATGTCATGTCTGAGGGCAATGTGTGGTGTGAATATAATGCAGACAATTTGTAGTTTGGAAGTTAGGAGGAGGTGCGGGACTGCCGTTTTAAAACTGTTGTCCAGAGGGCTGAGGAAGGGTTGTTGAGGTGGTTCGGACATGTAGAGAGAATGGAGCGAAACAAAATGACTTCAAGAGTGTATCAGTCTGTAGTGGAAGGAAGGCTGGGTAGGGGTCGGCCTAGGAAAGGTTGGAGGGGGGTGGTAAAGGAGGTTTTGTGTGCGAAGGGCTTGGACTTCCAGCAAGCATGCGTGAGCGTATTTGATAGGAGTGAATGGAGACAAATGGCTTTTAATACTTGACGTGCTGTTGGAGTGTGAGCAAAGTAACACTTATGAAGGGATTCAGGGAAACCGGCAGGCTGGACTTGAGTCCTGGAGATGGGAAGTACAGTGCCTGCACTCTGAAGGAGGGGTGTTAATGTTGCAGTTTAAAAACTGTAGTGTAAAGCACCCTTCTGGCAAGACAGTGATGGAGTGAATGATGGTGAAAGTTTTTCTTTTTCGGGCCACCCTGCCTTGGTGGGAATTGGCCAGTGTGTTAATAAAAAAATAAATAAATAAATAAATAGGCTGTATTATGGCATAAACTTTCAGTACAGTATTTGAATTTTTTATTAATTCCAGTCTGCGTAAGATACCCTGATTTTGCCGTGTCAGACACGTCTGACATAAAGGGAAGTCTTCGGCTACTCCTTTCCAGTTTATTATAGCCTACTTCCATTAGTGGGTCATGCTCACCTTCGTGTCACCTCTGGCTGCTGCACCTCACTTCTGCTTCATTACATAAGATCTGACCACAAGCCACTGCTTTAAGCTTGAGAGATTGATTAACTTAAAAACTACTACTACTGCCTCCAGTGTAATAATACCCCTTCTTTGACCAAAGAAGCTCATTTTGAAGGCAAAATATTTCAGCAATAAAGATACAAAAGTGCTGCACATGTATCTTATTCATAAATGAATTATTATTATTATTATTATTTATTTATTTATTTTATTAATTTGAACATGATACATTGAAGTACAAAAAATTACAGTGGTTAAGTGTAACATGCCAAAGCCCCTTGTATGCAGAGCATTATGGGCAGCTTAAAATTAACTTAAGATTAACTAAGCAATGATATATTCAGTGGTAAACATTATTGTAAACAGATAACAATTAAGCACAAATGAGTATTTCAAAGACAGGTCATATGGTCATTTACTGTGATGCTGTGCATTCAGTAGAACAGAGTATTCTGTTAGGTAATGTAATTAAAAATAACAAAGTTTGATTGGGTCACAGGTTAAACATTTATGAGATACAATTATTCAGCATTTATTTAGTTGTGGGTGAGTAAGTGATTTTTAAGTAGACTTGAATTTGTAAACCGACAGTGTTTCTTTTATATTCACAGGTAATGAATTCCAGACTTTTGCACCTTTTATGTGCATTGAGTTTTTGCATGGTGAGAGATGGACAAAAGGAACATCAAAGAGTGATCTGTGCCTTGTGTTATGGTCATGTGTTCTGTTGAGGTTGGTAAGGAGACGTTTGAGGGGAGGGTTTATATCTGAGTT